TGGCCTAGGGGGGGATTTTATAGGGATTTTAAAGGGATTTTATAATAGTAAACTTAATACAGGTTATTTAATATATATTTTAATTTGGCTTTTAGAGATATTTATTGTATTGCACTGTTTTTATTTACCTGTAAGCCGCCCTGAGTCCCTCGGGAGAAGGGCGGGGTATAAATGGGATTAAATAAATAAATAAATAAATAAATATATGCTCTGTGTGGCTTCTGGACAGGATTGGCCTGGGGCTATTTCTCAGGATCCATGGGGATAAAATGGAAATATGATTATTGACTCCTGAGGTACAAGAGGTGGTAAGATGGATTCATTGTCATTAGGGATGATCATTGTGCAGAATGTATAGGATTTTATTTACCAGTTATGTTATTATTGTTGTCAGTGTTATTATTTGCTGTTTTAATCATAGTTACTACCATAGAAGAAAGAATTATAGGCTTTCAGAGTCTGGTCAACTAGAGTGGCATAGAGTCTAAATAAACAAATAAAACCCTTAATAAAGTGGAAATCTTTTTGTAAATGTGCATTGTTTCAGTCTTTTTCACCTATTTTTTCCAGTGTTGCATTAAAAACACATGTAAAATTGTAAAAGATTACAAAGGCAATTTCAGGGGAAAAAAGGGGCAACATAGTGGGATAATATGATTAGCCTTAATTCTGAAACCACCATGTTACTCCTAAATATCTGATCATTAAAATCTGGAAACTCCTAATGAAAATATCAGTAAATTCAAATGGTTTATTTATAAGAAGAACTTGAGGTTTATGTGATTCAGGTCCTACTGCACTCCTAATTTCTTGAATAGGAATGTAAAAGATCCAGTTTATTATTTAATAGATTTATTAATGATTGGATTATTTTACAGTTTCCTCAGTTTACATTGTAAAGTCTAATTCCGACCTTTACTGAAAGAAATTGTCAGTTATTACAGAAAAGGCTGCAATCTCCAAATGCTGCATATATTTCAGTCACAGATTATAATTCTGCATACATTTTATAATCTCAGCATGCCTAATCTATTTCTAGGCGGGTTTTTTATGAAACTGGGGGAGCTGGAGTCCGTGCAAGATCACTATGGAGAGTGGAACCTCTTCGAATAAGGTACTGTGATTTTGTGTCATATTCATTTTTTTATATTATGCTTTTTATATAATAGAATTTACAGTATTTTGGTCTGGGAAATCCAGCAGGTTTTCTTGATAGGCAGAAATCAGAAAGAAGAATTTATTACATCCTGTTTTTGTTGTGTAGTATTTCTTTTTAGACTTAAATTTTCTCCTTTTCAGTCCCCTACCTTTTTCTCACCAAGCTTCCTTGCTGATACTCCTTTCCAACACTGGGGTATCCAATATTAGGAAAATCATCCTGAGTGGCCAGAATGGGAGACAGAAATGGGTTTATTTGTTTGTTGCAACTGTATCCTTCCTTAAAATTTGACCTGTGTTGGTTGTGTGCTTGTATTATATCTTATGAGATGCTATCTCAGGCTCTTAGGATTAAAGCCTTAGAGATAATTACTGAATTTAGTATTATAATGATGAGCCTGAAAGTGACTAACAGTTTGCATCTCAATTTCTGAAGGAAGAGAAAAATGGAGGGCACTAAACATGGTAAGAAAGAAGCTTAGAAAATCCCAAACACCTAAGAAAATAATGAATATGATTCTGAGTTAATTTGTAATACTGTTATAAGTGTTGAATCTATTAAAAGGTGGTCTTAAGAAAGACTTTGGGTTGAAATAAATTGAGATCTAACCAAATGAAACATAAAATAAACAAATGAACTTTTTTTTCACTTAGTGGGAGAATTAAGCCTGCGCTTAGTGCATAATGATGAATACCTCCTAAAAATACTTAGAATGGCCCATGTAAACCATAAACTAAATATTCTTTAAACAATTTTTAAGCTGGAGTGGAAGTCATATCCGCTGGGGACAACCATTTCGCCTTCGACATATTACAACAGGACAGTTTTTAGCGTTGACAGAAGACCTAGGTCTTGTCTTATTAGACAGAGAAAAAGCTGACACAAAATCAACTTCCTTTTGTTTTAGAGCATCCAAGGTAAGTAATATTTTTACATTAAATGAATATGGAAAGAATATGAATGTTCTACCTAAACCAAGGGTCTTCAAACCTGGCCCTTTTATGACTTGTGGACTTCAACTCCCAGAATTCCTCAGGAATCAAGACATATTCTATGATTAAATGAAAATAAATGATATTGACTTACATTCAGAAGAATATACTATACTAAAGCTTACTTATCTACATAATCTTTTTTCTGGAATCTTCTATATAAATAAAAATGTAAATGTTTGTTTGTTCAAAATCTTAAATCTCCGAAAGTTCTTCACTGATTGCTTTGAAATTTTGACACAATGTTGCATTCGAATACGCATGTGTTTTTATATACCTATATTATATAGATGTCACACCTGTGACAGGTAAAAACATGCTTTTTTTAAAAAAACAGCGCCATCTGTTGGACATAAAAGCAACACACGCTTTTACCAGACTGAGCCACAGCAATGCGTGGCCGGGTACAGCTAGTAAAATAATAATATCTATGAGAAATAATTGTCAGGGTATTTTTCTTGCTTACTATTCAACATAAAAGCAGCAGCCAGCAGCATTAAAGATGTAACAGAATTTTTCATTTCTCTGTTTTTTAATTTAATATATTGATAGCTTTCCTCAGCTTTCTAACATCTCTTTTTAAATGAATTTTTGTACTTTCAAATATGCTTAATAAAACTCATCAGTGAAGAACCGATTGTACTATATATTAAGTGATAGAAACGTACACCATGTACCGAGAAGATGAAAAAATATTAGTTTTGTATTTATGAGATTGAAAAAGTTGATTACAATGTGTACATTCAATTTGCAAAACATTATTTTTTGCAAAGGAACCTATTTTTCCTTATTGTTCATATTCTCCAATGCTGAATACGTAGGATTCATTAGTTGAATAGTGTTTGCTTCTGGATAGAATGGATAGATTTGCACTCTTTATTTCATATAGCAATGAGAACTGAGAATTGACGCAATTTCTCTCTGCTATTGACAGGATAACGGCTTCTCTAAGGAGTAGATTGAAATTCCATTTTATCTTATGACAGAATTATCTGTATATATTTAAATTGACACTGAAATTTGACAGCAATAATTCACGTGTAAAATATGAAAATAGGACATAGAATTGGGAGAAAGGAATTCTGCTTGTAGGCCTGGAACACACAAAAGAGGAGGCCTTTTATTTTCTTTTAAATGGAAGATGGAAGATGCTGAGCCTATATTTAAGATCTGGAGAAGGATGGGAAAGTGATAATTCCCTTCAGCTTTCCTTGCTGGCTCCAGGGATAGATTTGAATGCAACTGAGAAATTGATGTTCCAAAGGGACAGATACAGGTAGTTGTCGACTTACAATAGTTCATTTAGTGACCGATCAAAGTTACAACGGTACTGAAATAAATGACTTACGACTATTTTTCACACTTATGACCATTGCAGCATCCCAAAGTCACATAATCAAAATTCAGATGTTTGGCAACTGAGTCATATTTATGACTGTTGCAGTGTCCCAGGGTCATGTGATCACATTTTGTGACCTTTAGACAAGGAAAGTCAGATTCACTTAACAACCATGTTATAACTTAACAATTGCAGTGATTCATTTGTTAACTGTGACAAGAAAAGTCATAAAATAGAGAAAGATTCACTTAACAACTGTCTCGCTTAACAACATAAATTTTGTGCTTGATTGTGGTCGTAAGTCAAGGACTACCTGTACTCTCTTCCATGACCTCCATAGAGAGGAAGGGTTGTTGCTGTTGAATTCTAGAATGGTTTATCACAAAGTCCCAACCACCTAGGTACAAAAATAATAATAATAATCAATCACTGATATAAAAGTTGTTCATGGAGAAAAAAATATATATCCTCCTTTCTTCACTTATGTGTATAACTTAGGGCAACTAACGACTGAAGTTAATAAAAACACAATCATATTCCAAATGTTAAGAAACACAACCTAGACCAGTGGTTCTCAACCTTTTTAATGCCGCGACCCCAACCGGTCGTAAGTCGAGGACTAAACCGGTCATAAGTCGAGGACTAAACCGGTCGTAAGTCGAGGACTACCCAACCGGTCGTAAGTCGAGGACTTTCCCTGCCCGGGAGCACCGCGCATGCGTGGTTCTTCCCCCGGTGCCGGCCGAGGCGTAGCTGGCAAGCGGCAGAGACGGAGCAGGCCGACCACCAGCTGGCCCAGCCCAAGGGAGGTAAGGCACCCACCGGAAAAGGGGGGGGGGAAATGGACAAAAAAAAATGGCGGACAAAAAAATGGCGGACAGTCTTGCTTGGCGACCCCCATGAAATGGTCGATCGACCCCAAATGGGGTCCCGACCCACAGGTTGAGAACCACTGACCTAGACAATATGATAGAAAATTTCTCTGACCAATAAAACACATGTTAAAACACACTTAAATGAGATCTTACCATATGATAAAACATTGATCTAGGGTTTTTTTGGGGGGGGGTGCTATACAGAACTATACAGTTTTGGTGCTGCCACAGAAAAGGTCCTTTTTCTGATATGCACCATTGTTATCAATTGCAAATAATTTGCTAATTTTCTTCTTTTCCATCCCTCTTGCCTAAAGGAAAAACTGGATTCTGCTCACAAACGTGATATAGAGGGCATGGGATTTCCTGAAATAAAGTACGGAGATTCTGTTTGTTTTGTGCAGCATGTAGCTAGCACTTTGTGGCTGACTTACAAAGCACAGGATGCTAAAACATCACGTTTAGGACCACTGAAAAGAAAGGTAAACAGAAAATGTGTCTTTTTATTCTGTAGCTTACAATTGTGAATAACTTGCACATGTAGATGTGCAGAAGCTCATACAGCCAGAAGATATTGCACAGTGTTTAATTGTCTGAACTGTTGCCTAGAAAGATGCAGAGTGAATAGTTTTTGGGCATGATACTTTTGAGAGCTGCTCACTTGGGCTCAATTTGTGTGTGTGTGTACAAATAGGCAAGCAGCACCATCTGTTGTAGCTATTATGGATATTAATTAGTTTGCCCCATTGGTCCTTTTTATTGAGACATATAAGCTCAAGGAATTACATCAGTCTCCTTAAGACCTATTAACAATAGGTGCTTCTGCTTTTTTCAGTACTGGAGTTTACTTTCCAAATTGTGCATTCAGGTCTCCTGTATTCTTTTTAATAGTCCGAGGCATATTATATTTTGATATTAGATACAAGAAAGCATTCTGATTTCTATAAAGCATAGGGATTAATTCTATAATTTCATCTCTAACATATTTGGGCTGGACTGAGATACAATATCTCATTCTCTTTATCAAGAATAAAAAATATAGGGAACAAACTGCATGCCTTTACATGACATGCCTGACTTAGCAGAACACTTCATGGTTAGTTAAACCAATATGCTTTCTTTCTTATTTATATATTTATTTATCATGTTTATACGTATGGCCATCCATCTCACGGAAGTGACTTCTCCTCGATTTAAATCAGGGAAATATGATTTCAGTGATGTCTTCTAAGTAGAATAGGACACACCAGAGGCATCCTGGTTTGCAATCCTGATTTGTAAAGATTGCTCAAACCATAATTTGTTCATCTGGATATCTCAACAAACTGTGGCCTGACAAATTAGAACACATAAAGGGTGGAGGATGGCAGGTTACATACATTTGCTTTATTCCTACATGGCTACCATGACCATATGTCTTTTATTTCAGAAAGCTGTCTTTTAAATTCAGTTTTTCAAAAACTCATTTTTGTCATTTCACTTAATCATACAAATGGTTCCACTTAATGGACAGTCCATATTCATGTAAAAACTTATGGAAATTTATTGTCTTTTTAAAACAAATTTACACACACTGTTTGATTTTAACTATTTTTATTATTTCTGTAAAGTTTTTCTTGGTTTTGCTCATGAATTTTCTTTTGTAAAGTAAATTTTCTTTTGTAAAGTAAAGTTATAAACATAAACCTTTTTTGTTCCTAACCACTTTCAGATTTGCTCCTTTTTCAGGCTTGCCTTTGTTTTTTCCAAGATAACGTGTCAACCGTATACATACTGTACATTATTCTAAACTTCAGCTCCTGCCATTTTTCTCAGCTACATCTTATGGCATATTATGTAAAATCCAACTGGGACATATTATCTGAAATTAAAAAAGAGCATCAAGAAATTAAAACTGCAATTTCCTCCTAACCTCACATACTATCATTAGTAAGCTGCACAGCAGCATTTGAGAACATAATTAAAAACATACAAATAGCCCTGGACTTATGGTCACAACTGAGCCTCAAATTTCTGTTGCTAAGCAAGACAGTTATCAAGTGAATTGTGACCCATTTTATGATCCATTTTATGAACACATGAATCTGCAACCATCATAAATACATGCCAGTTGCCAAGTGCCTGAATTCTGAACACTTTTTTAAGTGGGAAAGCTAGTCATAATTCACATTTTTCAGTGCCATTTTAACTTCAAACGGTCACTAAACAAATGGTTGTATTTTAAAATATTATTTTGACCATTTATTTCAGGTTATATTACACCAAGAAGGGCACACAGATGATGGACTGTCCGTGCAAAGGTGTCAACATGAAGAATCCCAGGCTGCTAGAATTATTCTCAATACCACAAAATTATTCAGTCAATTTATAAGGTATAATTTCTTAAAGTATCATTCTGACAATAATTAGCATTTATAACATTTATAACTGAATTATACCAAAATCCAACTGTTCGTACCAGAATTTGGAAATACATTCTGCTTATATTGGACTATAATTTATTATTGTTGAAGATTTATTTTTTAATCAGTTAAAATAAAATTTGCCAAAATTTTGCAGCACAGTTCTTTAACAATAAGCCATTTTGATACATGAATATACCTCCATTGATAGAAGATAATGATGCATTGACATCCAAAACCTAATCTTGATTTTAACAGCTTTTTCAAATGTCTTTCAAATATTCACTACATTAGCGGCTCCATAGATTGGTGGCGGTGAGAGGATGGTTTGGGGCATGCAAGTTAACCCCGCACATATGCAAATAAAGCTTCGTGAGCTTGCCCATCACTTGTGTGGCCCAGAGGTTGGGGACTCCTGAACTACATCTTAGAAAATCACATTTACTAGTCGTCAAGACACTTCAGCAGTTCAGTCTACAGAAAACCTACAAAGATATTTTAGCAGGATGATTTCACTGACCATTGTTTGTTCCAACATTTACCATAGGTGTCCTCCAGCTGTATAGGGACCCATCATCCCCGAATTGCGATCAACATGGCTATATATTACCCCAAGGAAGCAGGTTGGGAAATGCTGCTCTAGCCTAGCCTCTCTAACCTCTTCCTTCTTCATTCTTACCATACTCTCAGACTTTAGAATGTAATTACTAGTGACAGAAAATTCTTTCTCTCCCCCCCTTCAAAATATGCATTGGTTGTGTTATACTGATTGTGCCACACAGACTGGAGCCTTTTGACATTTCTTCTTGCATAAGCTGTAATAATAAGTTTGTGTGAACGAAAGTTGCTTTAAAAAATCTATTCGAGTGATATTCCTTCTCTCCATCATACTGAACAAATACTGGTATTTCACAACACTCTATATTGTGACGTTAGCAATTCCTTCTCAGTGACTTTTATCATACAGACATGCAGATGATACTCTCAGGACATGGGTTGCCCAGTTTGCCCTTCTATATGTAATTCAATTAGCTTTTTAAATTCTGCATCTATGGATCACGTGATACAAAATATTCTGTGTGTAAGACAAGCTATATAATAGTAATAATTGTATACCGATTATTCTTTTGATTCTGGTAATGTATTCTTTTTATAACTATTTGCTTTGTCTTTTGATTCACAGTGGAAACAACAGTGTTACAACTCCCCTCACTCTTCCCATTGAAGAAGTAGTTCAGACTCTCCAAGATTTAATTACATATTTTCTACCTCCAGAAGAAGAGTTAGAACACGAGGATAAACAAAACAAACTTCGTTCCCTTAAAAACAGACAAAATCTATTCAAAGAGGAGGTAGAAAAGGCTATGTTTAGAGTGTTTTCATTTAATCAGGTTTTGGGATTGATAGTCAAGTTGTATGTATGATTCACCTTTCAAAGATGCTTTAAATAACTACTATTATTATTATTATTATTATTATTATTATTATTATTATTATTATTATTATTATTATTATTATTATTATTATCTGAAAAACTCAAAGTCTTAGAATCTTGCTTATTTTAACCCTTTTAAAGGTGAGATCCAAACTAGATCTTGGGAAGATGTTACAATTGTGGAATTGGAAGGGGTTACAAGAATCATCCAGGTTAAGAAACACTGGTCTAGTCCATAACAGAATACAATTATGCTTCAGGATTTCCTGAAAACATCAGATTGTTTGCTCTATAGAATGCTAGTTTCTTTTTTTTCTGAGCTGTTGTAGACAATTGACAGCTTAGATCAGAGGTTGGGGACCTTTTGGGCACCAGGGACCGGTTCCGTGGAGAGAGGTTTTTCTGAGGACCAGAGGGTTCATGGTTTTAGGTGCTGCCTGCATCCCATGGATGGGGCTTTGCTTGTTAGTGCGGCCCGGTTACTGGCATGCCGCGGCCCGGTTGCTGGCATGCTGCGGCCCGGTACTGGTCCATGGACCGGGGGTTGGGGACCCCTGGCTTAGATGAATATGTTTACTAAGGGCTGCCAGATGAGATAGAATTTGGGATTTTCTATTTAAAAGCCACTGTAGAGTTTCCTGACTAAGGATTAAATCTTCCCCTTTGTAATTCACAGAAATAACTAGCAATTTTAAAACTGATTTTAACAATTTGAAAAAAAAGATGATGCTCTGGGTGGATATATTTCTTAGTTACCATCTGGTTTTGTCATTTTTGCAGGGAGTTGGGTGACATATTAAATTTAATAAATTATTATAATAATTATATAATTAACTATCTTTTCACACAACCCACATTTTATTGCTGTTGCTATTTTATTATTATTAATAGTAGTAGTAATATACATCAGAGCATATTTCTACTTTCTATTGTTTGTAGTATTCAATAAGCAAAATTATTATATAAAATTTAATGTTTAAAAGACATTAATAATAAAGCATGATAATGTGAGAAAGAAGAAAACAATAAACACATAAATTTAGAGCAACAATTTAGAGCAACAAAAGTAGCAAGAGTAATAACATCATTTCAAAGAATACAGGTAAAGATATTTTAAATGAAGTATTCCAAAGTCAACTGGAAGAAAACAGTCTATCATCTATGTAAGAATCAACAAGAAGCCATGAAAGAAAAGACTTGTCCCTGGTGGAGTAATTTCTTATAAAACAAAGAGCAGAGCTTCAGATGTGATCATAATCCTTGAGCAGGAACATTTAATACGGATAAATGGATTGCAAAGCATTTGCAAAGGGTTTGGAAGTCAATACCAGCCCCCTAATTGGACTTGCAGTTGAAAAGGCAACCAGTGTAATCAGTGCAAAATAGAAGTAATGTGATTAGACAGTATAGTTGTTACAGATGTTCTCATTACTGCATACATTCTACCAATAGTTGATTCCAAACCGAGTTTCAGAGTAGGTGTGTGCAGCAATCCAATTTGCTAATGGAGGCTGCAGGATGATTTTCTATTGGGGAAATGGCTCTGGGGAAGAATAAAGGCTTTCCTCTCTCTAATGTTATGACCCTAGTCCAGATAAGACCTTTATGACTGTTTTAAACAAAATGATTTTTACAATGGTTTCCTTTGTATCTTTGAAATCCTTCTCCCACATTTACAGCTAATTATTTTCCTTCTGGGAAGAAAATGTATTATGCCCAGTATTTTATAGTTCAATATTGTATTTGAACTGCTTGTTTAAACATTTAAAATGTAAATGAATATATACTTGAAGATATAAACAGTGTTTATAATTATATTTTTACAGGGGATGCTGGCATTGGTTCTGAACTGCATTGATCGATTAAATGTATACTATAGTACTGCTCATTTTACAGGGGTTGGTAGAGAAGAAAATGGTGCAGCATGGAAAGAAATTCTAAATCTTCTTTACAAATTATTAGGTGGGTTATACAGTATAAATATTTTGTATATGTTGAAGCAAGTCATGCAGAGTTCAATGAGATTTTGGAGGAAATTTTGAATTAAATCTAAATCAGAGGAACTGATAATTTCCCCCATTAATGAATAGCACATTAAAACCAACACTAAAACTAAATCAACATGTTATTGGATGACACATGGCAATTTACATCATGGTTACGTGTATAAAGTAATTTTAATAATGTACTTTAAAATTTAAAAATGTGGTTTTCAATAGAAGAGAATATTTGTAGTTCAGAGTTGAACTGGAATGTGGGATCCTTGGTGCTCTCTGAGCTTGGTTGCTTTCTTGCAGATATTTCATTACCAAATTAGGTAATGTCATCAGTGCTAAACGTGGTTTCCTTTTATGATTTAGAAATGCATGTGTGTAAAACAAAACAAAAAAACAGGAGAAACAGAATTTGAAGACAAATTAGAAAGATACAAGGCCACATTCTTTTATGCCCTGCTTTCATATTCTTATTTTTCTTCACTGTTATTGTCATTCTCTTTTTGAAGTTTACAAATAATTAACAAATTATTGTTTTTATCTCTCCCTGTTGAAGATTGCTGATTTTTTTCATTGTCATCTACTTTAGCAATGCAGAAGTTGCTGAATAATATTTTTTCTTCTACAGTGCCTTCCGGTTAGTAGGTGGACCTTAGAACTGTGACCCTTTTCTGCAGCTATATGAAATCTTCATCTGTGGAAATTTATGAATGTTAGAGACAGTTTTGAAAACAAACACTTTCATTTGTAGATTTGATCGTGCTTTTTTAAAAAAAAATCAATTGACTAATAAACTCTTACAGAAATAAGCAATGGCTCTGATGTACAAATGTATAGAAAAATAAGTTCTTGATTAGATCAAAATATTTCAAATAATGTACATGTATTGAAATTCATTCTTTATTCATTGATTACAGAATTAAAAGTTTTAGTGTGTTTTACATTTATAATTAGCAGTAATTGGATGTCACTGAGCTTTCAATGACTTTTACGAATAATTTTATATGATTAAATCCAGAACAATGTAACAATGAATTTAGAGCTGGAGATGACTGGTTAATGGTATCAAATGTTTCTCCAATGTCAGAAATATTTAATGCCTATTGGAAGGGTAATCAATTATGCCCAGTGAAGGTGACAATAAACTATATTCCTTTTATATCTAGAATATACAAAAAGGCATATAATGGATATATCCTAAATATCAACATGTAGCTGATGGAGGCACATTTTACATTTTGGCTTTATTCTAAAATATCTGTATCTATACTTAACTAATCATCCCAACTCTATCTTTCAGCTGCTCTCATTTGTGGTAACAGAAATAATTGTGCCCAGTTTTCCAATAATCTTGATTGGTTGATTAGTAAATTGGACAGACTAGAATCTTCTTCAGGTGAGATATACCAGTCTACTCTTCCATAACCTAAAAAAAAGCTATTAACTTTAATTATGGATTTTCATAGAAGAATCCCCCATACTATACATCCAATTTTCAAGCAACAGTTATCCAACACATTAGTTCCTATAATAATATATTGCATTGAGGTATTTACAGTGCAATGCTATTTAGATTTTATCACAACTTTTCAAATAAAAGCTGTTGGTGCTTGGTATAAGAGATTTACACATTTCTTGAATTAATGAGAAATATGTTATTGATCAATTGAGAAAAAATATTGCTGCAATTTAGATCCAGACACAAGCTGGACAGAAACTCTTAAGAATGAATGAAATTCTACTGCTAGATTTAGCTTTAGGGCTAAGGGATTTATGTTTCTAAAGATAGCATCCCTTTCGGTTCAGTTGTTCCTTAATTTGTTATCTGTCCTCAGATAAAAATACCATAAAAGAAAAATCCACATCTAAGCTATTTTGTTTTCTTGAAGCTGGCTGCCTAATTCAGGCATCTTCAATCTTTAAAATTTAAGCATTTTTAAAAGCCTTAAAGAAGGATTTTTTTTTCTTCTTTTTTTACATTTTTCCCAATGTTTGAATTATATGTTATAGATTCTACCCCTGAAACTCAAAATAATCTGTTTGTCCCTGGCATTCAAACAGGTATTTTAGAAGTGTTGCACTGTATATTGATTGAAAGCCCAGAAGCTTTAAATTTGATAGATGAAGGTCATATAAAATCCATCATCTCCCTGCTGGATAAGCACGGACGCAACCATAAGGTATGCTTTAGAAGTGCAAGATGCATCTTTAATATACAACATATTCTATAAATAAAACAAAAATTGTTATAACACCTGTAAATTATATTAAAATAGAAATAAACATATTGTTATAAAAACCTGCTCTTTTGCCATAAAACAAGTGTGAAAATTTAAATTCTCTCAGGAGAATTTCTTTCCGACTGTGGATATATAAGTAACAAATTGGTATATACAGTCCAGACAAAGTTATATAGATGTTATATTATGTTGTGCTCTTATTTTATGAGGTTTTACATGACTTGCACCTCATTCCATCCCATGAGGAGGAGAATTTGTCTATTTTTACAGCCTGTGTGATGTTTTTATATGTTGACTGCTAGAAGGCAGTACAAGATTGTTTTGACCTGTTTGGAGGTGAACAAGTTACAAGATATGTAACTGAGAAAATCCTTTTGGTCCTCTGGAATGTGTAAAGTTCCTATAGAAAAAAATCCACTTGCTAGGAAGTAGCCAAGGATATTAAAAACATTTCACATCTCTTTCAAATTTTAGATAACTACGGCATTGATTATCTTGGATACCATTAGCATCTATGCCAATAAGCTATTTAACAAGCTTAAAAAGCAGAAGGATTTGTGGATTTCAAACATCTCATATATAAATAATTTTTAAAAAGGTTTTGTGTCTCCACTGGCCATATATATAGAATTTCATATTATTGGACATGGACAGCATAATCCTATATATTCTACTTAGTCCCAATGAAGTCAATAGGACTTGGTCCCTAAGTAAGGGAATATGGAATATGGAAACTGCCTAAGTGATGGAACAGAATCTGTTGAAATGCAGTGGAGACATATGCTTATATTTTAAAATAAGAAAAATGTTGTACAGGGTTATTTGTTTAGGGGATAAATTGAAGCAACAGCTTTAGGGCTCAACTCTGTTACTTCTTTTGGCATTTGAAAGGATCTCTTCTATTGTGTTTTTTCAGATAAGCTGTACTAAAACATTTGGGTAAACAAGTAAGAGCCAAAACTTTCCTTAGTATTTCTTAAACAGAAACTGCTCATCAAGCATTTCAGTGAATGCTTGTGAAAGGGCTTGTGGGCAGGGCATATTCTTATCCTTTCACCAGTTTAAGCCCTGCATATTTAAGCCACATCTATTCATTGGGCAAGTTGCCTACTGGATGCCTTTCCATCCTTCCTTTGTCCATTTTTCTTTCCATTCATTTTACATTTTTGACTGAACTGTTTATTATTTACTGATCACTTAAATATTTTGTGTGTGGGGGGGGGAATCCTTCAACTTTCACCTCTATTCCAGCTCTCCTTACTTTAAAAATCCTGAAGTTGTTCTCTCTTAACTACAGACTTGTCTTAGTTGTCATAATCTGTGTGACTCCATTCAATCAGGATGTTGATCTGGTCCTGTCACTGAGGCAGTTTTTTGTGAATTGTTGAATAATTTACAGTATCCATTGACTGTGCCGCTACTCTTAGGTTATCAGCTATGTTCAATATTCTTAACCATGACTGAAAATAAACAGAGAAAAGACTAAAGTGATAGTCAAAAACCTTATAGATAAACAAAAAAAACAACTGTCAGAAAAAAACAGACCTCCAGGTAGTCAAGAAAGTTAAATACATGGGGATATATTTAACAGCAAGAGTGCAACAATAAAAGAAGATAATTATGTAAAACTATTAAAACAAATAAAACTAACCTGGGAAAATGGAAAAATCTACAACTATCAATATTAGGAAGAATAGTGACGGTGAAAATGAACATTTTACCATGGGCCGCCAGTTTGACACTCCTGCTTTATACCTTTCTTTAGAGTGACTTATTACTATAGCTGGTTTTCAATATCACATCTACACTGATCATATCCAAATGTACTGATATTCTTCCAAGTTTGATTCAGCGACATAGAATTCCAACAGGGTTTTTTTTAATAGCAAATTTCATCTTGGATAATTGCCCATTATCTTGAGCTCAGACAAAACAGAGCTTTTAGTGTTTTGCAAAAAAACAAATTCCATCTGTCTCCAGGGCTATGAAATTTGCCTCCATTTCAGTTGCCAGGAATTTGTGCATGTAGTGGATAATAAATTGCCCTGCAATCATTCATTGTGGCTATTGCAAAGATCTGCCATTTTCATCTGTATAACATTTGATGTATTTTCCAATTCTTGACACCTGATGCAGCAATCTTCTCATTCATGCTCTGGTAGTGTCATGTATAGATTACTGCAACATCTTGGTGGAAAGCTTCCCCACCTACTCTTGCTTCATTGACCTGGGTTCAAAATATTGTAGTCTGGATTTTTGTAATCTCCTTTTCCTCTCATGTGTGTATGCACCACAGAATGTGTATAGGGCCTACTTAACTTTGGCCTTTGGGGCACTGATCCCTACTTCATTGTTGAGAAGGTACATCCCCACAAAATGCATTATTTAGCAGGCTTGGTATTTTGGCTATGTCCACTACTCTGACAATAAATTTAAGGTTGAGAGCCTTTCAAGATCTCACCTCACAGCTTTAGAATTACCTCCTTACTCTGTGATTTATGGATGATTTTCTAGTTTTAATGTTGCCTTAAAACCTTTTTGTTTGATGTGGAGGAAAAGAGATATTTCTCTGATAACAGGCTTCTCTGAATTTCATGATCAGGTAAATTAGGTTCAGTTTATACTTAATAAATTATACTTGTTTGGAATTCTGTTCTTTAGAGATGAACTACCAAAGTCTGTAGTATGTAAGTTTTGCAATTTTTTTATTTTCATTAATTAATATTTCTTTATTTTTACTCCATTCTAGAATAAGAATAAGATTAAGAATAAAAGTATAGATATGCCTATCCCAGGTCGTTGGAAAGCGCTCGATAGGTAGACAAAAATGGCCAATCCCAGTCTGAATATCTGGCTGCAATCAACCATAATAATGGTATTAGATTTCTAGCTAGATATCTTTAGAAGTGAAATTAAGACTCCTGGATGAAGACCAGGAAAAGATCCTTTCCATGTTGAAAGCAATACATGAAACTATTCTTTCAGCTTGTGACAAAATAAGACTCAACATAAAAGAACAAGTTGCCAGCTTAGATATACAAACCCAAATTTTGACTACAACCAAAGAACTAACAACACAGAAGATAACAGAAGAAGTGGAACAATCAAATACTAAGACAGAGGATTCAACTGACCAACAAATACAGTTAATGGAAAATCCAGAAAAGGGAGTGACAACACTGAAAATGGGAAAGATTTTCTGTATAAATCAGAAGAAATTTGAGGAGAAAGAAAAAAACGGATTGAATAGAAGATAAACTTATCAGGACAATCATGGGGAACTGGAATAATAGGGAGATGATCTAATGAATACAAATGGGCTAGCCCTTCCAAAAAATGGCAACTAAATGGTGTCTCTTATTTCAAATAATATATATAATAATAGAGGGAGATCTATTTGATGATTTAAAATCATTGACATGGAAGGCTAGTTGTCAAAGGAAGAAAGCCAGAATAAGGCTGAAGAAAATTGAGGTTTTGATTTATTAGAGGGGATTTCCTATTACTAATTAGAGGGTTAAAGGGAGAAGTTGAGATAAGGGGAATTTTGGTCATTAAATTTAAAATATTTGGAAATTAGTTGAAAATAAGGATTCTATTTGTTTAATATTTAAAAATTAGACCCAAAAGAAAAAAAATATGAATATGTTTAATTTATTGATTAACTCAGACAATATATATAATGGTTTTGATTTATTAAAGGGGATAATGTATTATTAATTAGATGATTTAATATGGTGGGAAATAGATAACTTTTAGGAAATAGAACAAGACTATACTCAAATAGATGTGTATTTTGAATATTAGATTCTGTTATGAATTGAGATAAGGGAAACTTTGGTTACCTAAAGCCTGGAAATTATAAATATCAAATGTTAAATTTGAATATTGATAGGAAACTAAAAATTGGGAAAAAATCAATAACGACATTGATTGTCTATAAAGATTAAATGTAAAAGTAATTAAGATATGTATAAGCTAAAAATTTATTGATAAATGTAATAATGATGTTTTTACTTAGTTGATACAATAAGAACTGTATTAGCTTAAATACGAGATAGTAGTTATTAAGGGGAAAAAAGGAAATATTTGATGTTGTAACTTGAGATTTGTAACATTGCTTTTTAAATACCTAAATGTAAAATTAGAAAATTAATAAAATATTATTTTAAAAAAGACTCCTTGAAACTAGCATTTTATTATGCTCTATATAGTTCTAAGACCCACTTCTATGAATATTTTCTAGGTTCTTGATGTCCTGTGCTCTCTTTGTCTCTGTAATGGAGTAGCAGTGCGTGCTAACCAGAACTTAATATGTGACAATCTTCTTCCTCGAAGAGATCTGCTCTTGCAAACACGGCTGGTGAACGATGTGACAAGGTATCATTATATATCAATCATGTTTATTAAAATATTTGATCTCTGTAACAGGGAATGAGCAGAAAAATCAGTCAAAGCTGATATTCTGTGTGAGGATACACAGTAGTTCTCTGTCTGTTGTAGGTTTTGTTGGATCTGTGATTTTGTCAATGATTTTACATGCCTTTATTTATGCATTGCATCACATTCCCTCTTTGACTTCTCAATAAATTTGAGTTATAGGAGAAAGTCTTGAACACAGGAGAGTTGAATATCCTAGAAGGAAAGTGTTTTACTCACTTTAGAAGGATAACTTGACTTTACCCTTATACATTAGATGGTTTGAAAACAGTTTTGATGACTAGTTTACTATTGACATATTAACTATGGTTAGCATGATATCAAGGTATACAGGCATATTTATTTATTTATCAAATTTAGGTACTGCCTATCTCACTTTCAGAATTACTCTGGGCAGTTTATAACTAAAGCATACAGTGAAAATAATATAGCAATACAATATATAAATAAATGGGAGCTAACTAAAAAAAAAAAGAACAACCAAAGATAGAATAAGTTAAAAGGCAGAGGGAACACCTTCCAGACACTAATCATTTCCAGGGTGGAATGTCACTCTTCAAGCTCCAAGTGAGTTGGCAGAGCCAAATTTTGAAAGCCAAGGAAAGTGGGGTGTCACTCTGGGGGAGAATATTCCATAGGGTTGGGGCAAGGGTAGAGAAAGCTCTCTTCCGGAACCCTGAAATTATAGTGTAGTATATATTTTACTGCAGTGTGTTTTAAATGCTCTTCGTTCTCTTCTTTTTTAGTATAAGGCCAAACATATTTCTTGGAATTGCTGAGGGCTCAGCACAGTATAAGAAATGGTACTTTGAACTAATCATTGATCAAGTGGAACCATTTTTGACAGCAAAACCGACACATTTGCGGGTTGGATGGGCCTCAACATCAGGCTATGCTCCTTATCCTGGAGGTGGGGAAGGATGGGGAGGAAATGGTGTTGGTGATGACCTGTACTCCTATGGTTTTGATGGACTTCATCTCTGGTCTGGTAAGAACTGATTTAAAATGTGAATGGCCGCACATATTATGAAGGTTTGCAAAATAGAATTGTTTTCATTTTCTTTTTAAGGATTTTTTTTTTTGCCTCCTTGAAAGAATATTTTTTATCTCTTAATAACACTTGACAGGAAATAAAGAGAGTGCAAAAATAATACTTCATCTATATACTCTTTTGTTTGGCTTTATGTGGGAGCCAAAATGTCTATTTTGCTTGATTTTGTTTAGGAGCTATGCTTAGAATCCAATGAATAACAATCCTGCACAATCCCAGTCTCAATTCTTGAGGATTGTACACTGAAAATTCTTGTTTTGTTAAATCAAAGAAAAAATTAAAAATTCATACTATTGACAACTGAATAATGTAAAGATGAAAAAGGGGTTTTTTGCAGGTTGCATTCAATGCTGCCTGTCTAATTCAAAAATAATTCTATCTATGACTAAAAAGAATGACATGCAAATTTGCATTTAACTATAAGAGACGTCATCCTCCCACAACCATATGATTTCTATGTTTTTTTTTTAATATTCATGGCACTATAAAATTAGGAGTATGCAATTTAAAAGATAATAGTATCGTGATCTGTTAAAAAATTACTTTGTTGTTTCTAAATTGGAATAATATTCTCAAGCATTTCTAAATATTTTTTTTATTTTTTACTCTTTGAAAAATGATTTATTTAATGTGAAAAACAATGATTTTAAATGTGATGGAAATTTCACAGTTCTTCCCCAGCATTTCTTAAATCATTTTTTCTCTACGATTCTCTGCTTATTAGGTCGAATACCCAGGGCTGTTGCATCTGTGAATCAGCATTTATTAGCATCTGATGATGTGGTCAGCTGTTGCTTGGATTTAGGGGTCCCCAGCATTTCTTTCCGTATTAATGGACAACCTGTGCAAGGAATGTTTGAAAACTTTAATACTGATGGCCTTTTTTTCCCTGTGGTGAGCTTCTCAGCTGGTGTCAAGTAAGGAAGATTCTACTTTCATATCAAACAGTTGCACTGAATGTTGTTTAGTACAGTTAATGTACCCTATTCAGAGGTAGTTTGCAGTTGTCAATCATTATCAGAAAATCCAGATTTTTTTAAAAAAACAGAATCATGGAGAATCAAAGCTAACAAGGAGAATTTTGACACCTCCTATTTTTGGTTTGGATTCTCCCAAATCGTATACTAAATGAATTCATTATGAAATGTTGAGCTTTTTCATGATCTATGTGAAATCAGTCACTCTCTTTTATATATATCCCTGGAGAACAGTTTGAACATAATACTATTTTTCTTTGGCAGTGGTGTCAAGAGGTCAAGTTCTCTTCTGACATACAAAGATTAAACAAACAATGATACATTGGTATGGTGTATGATTTATTGGTCTTACCTTTCTATATTCCTCCCTTAAACAACAACATTCCCTTTAAGAGGTTATTCAGCAATACTGTATGGCTATAATATCAGTAATTAAAAACTATATAGATTATTTGTTCCTATTTTATTTTCTATTTCATGATATATACAGTTTTTAGCCATTCTTTATGGTAGTACAAGACAATCTATAGTTTTCCAGATATTGCTGAACTGCAGCTCCACTAATTTACCTAACAGTGAGGGAAGCTGACTTTGATAAGAGGTGGAGAGCTAAAGTTCCCCAACCCAATTTCTTCTTGAAAGTTGCCAGTCTGGAGTTTAGAGCATCAAATGGTGAGGTTCCATTTTAAAATATTTTAAAATATTTTCCATATTTTACACTTCCTAATGTAGCTTCCTCTGATCTGTACACTAGGACAAAAAGGGCAATTTTACAGAATGGATTTTCAAGGATTTTTGGTAGTTTTAGGGACAGTTTGCTCTTACAAAATAAACTTTGGTAACCTGCTCAGTTCAGAAAATGCATCTTAGACATCGTTCTCTTTGAACTCATGTTGCTTCTTAAAGAGTTACCATGTAGCCTAAGAAAACAAATTTTCTCCATTTCATGGTTTTCTCTCCAGACATGTGTATTATATCTGGGATAGAAAATGTAAATAGCAGACTTTTTGCTCCTTAGAAAAACTGAGGGAAATGCTTGGACAAGGAATAAGACAGGGGTCTTCAAACCTGTCCCTTTTATGACTTGTGGACTTCAACTCCCAGAATTCTTCAGCCAGGCATGCTGAGTTGAAATCCACAAGTCATAAAAGGGCCATGTTTGAAGACCCCTGGAATAAGGTTTAAGATAAACTGAATTCAAAGGAGAAAAGTTGATTTGGTGAGTGCATGGGTGTGCATGTCAAGGAAAAACAAAGTCCAGTTGCCTTTTGAAAAAGCATCTTTGGGATGATGTGCATGTCACACGTGTTGGCAACAGATAGGATACTGTTCTTTTCTGGGGGTTGGATGGAAGCAGTCACATAATCCCCCAAAATTTACTTCAGTTTGGTAACAGGCGTAATGTGTGTATCCTGAAAGCAAATCACCTTTTTCTCTTTAAATCTAGATCATTGCCCAGTCCTAAAACCTAATATATTTAGATAGCATATATCCCATTTGCTTGAAGGGTGGTTAAATGTTTATGTAGACTGTCAGTGACTTTCTGTGATAGAAATATTCTTCAGGAAAATTTAAACATTTATTTCTGTTTTAGTACAGTTAGTGAATCACTACCTTATTTTTCAACAAAGTGTCGTTTGTCTGAAATAACCTCCATGAAGTAATTTCTAGTATTATTTTCGAAATCAGATTTACTCTGGTAAGAATATTCACTAAGGAATTATTTTAAGCAATTGACTTCCAACATGAAGAATGCATTCGTAAAACCTTTACTGGAATAATATTATTATGATCTCCAGAGAAATAGTTGTGGCTTTTTCCAAGTTGCAGCAAAATGAAACTTTAAAAATTAATATCTTTATTAGAGTATAAGCTTCTGCAGCTTATATGTTCATGCATCTGATATTATATTATAATATATACCTTAATAAATGCTTTTTTTCTCATCTACGTGCCATATAATCTTTTATTATTGTTTTCACTAATAATAAACTCTGTAAAATAAACCCAATCATTGCTTAAACTAAGAAGCAGGACTTTGATGTATGATTTCACACTTTCAGCAGAAATTGCAAATAGGTTTACAATTATAGGAAATTATATGTTAGTTAAATTAGAACATAATCTTATAAGTATCTGCTTAACTATGGCAGATAAAATGTGACTCCGTATTTGGAGATTGCCAGAGTACTAAAAGAAGTTTGGAAAATCTCTCCAGGGAATTTCAAGGTAGCCCGTTTGCTATTCAGCCATTAGTTGGGTTTTTCAGTGGTATTTTGCTTTCTATTGATCTATACATTTTGTTTACCATACATAAAAATTACAGTAATTGTTGGGCAGGTATAGGTTTTGTGTTTCTGGAAAAGCATTTAAGTTTAGGTAGATAAATGCACTGTGTATTGAAAAATAAAGTGAAAGAATCTAGCAGATACATCAATCTCACTTGCTGAAAGAAAATATAACAGTCTAGATGTGTTGACATGAAAAGTCAACATCTTGGAGATAAATGCCTTCTGTCTTTCATAATTGAACAGGTGGTGTGTTAAATAGTGATGCTGGAGGGCTCCTCTATCTAAGACTCAATGTAGTGTTGCAGGGGAAAAAAGCATATATTTGACATGAAATATCCTCTGGAAATGTCATCACATCTGCTCAGACAGTTAGTAAACAAGCCTAATAAGATGTGTTGAAGTGATTGTTCTGATCATTTGTGTTGTTTCTAGTAGTAAACAGATACTTTTCATTAAATATTATTCTAAATATTTGCATAATTGTGCTTTGTAGTCTTATGCTTCTCTAATGAACTCATAGTTTTCAAGAGAATATCACTTTCAATATATATTTATTTTAATAATAATAATAATAAAGTTGGAAGGAACCTTGGAGGTCATCAAATCCAACCCCCTGCTCAGGCAGGTAACCCTATACCATTTCAGACAAATGGCTGTCCAGTTTCTTCTTAAAAACTTCCTGTGTTGGAGCATTCACTGCTTCTGGAGGCAGGTTGTTCCACTGGTTAATTTTTCTAACTGTCAGGAAGTTTCTCCTTAGTTCTAGGTTGCTTCTCTCCTTGATCAGTTTCCATCTGTTGCTTCTTGTCCTGCCTTCAGGCGCTTTGGAAAATAGCTTGACTCCCTCTTCTCTGTGGCAGCCCCTGAGATATTGGAACACTGCTATCATGTCCCCCCTCGTCCTTCTCTTCATTAAACTAGACATACAGTATCCAATTCCATCAACCTTTCCTTATATGTTTTATCCTCCAGTCCCCTAATCATCTTTGTTGTTGTTCACTGTACTCTTTCTAGAGTCTCAACATCTTTTTTACATCGTGGTGACCAAAACTGGATGCAGTATTCCAAGTGTGGCCTTACCAAGCATTGTAGAGTGGTATTAATACTTCGCGTGATCTTGATTCTATCCCTCTGTTAATGCAGCCTAGCACTGTGTTGGCTTTTTAGGCAGCTGCAGCACATTGCTGGCTCATATTTAAATGATTGTCCACTAGGACTCCGAGATCCCTCTCAATAGTTACTACTATTGAGCAAGGTACTCTTTATACTATACCTATACATTTGTTTTTTCTTGCCTAAATGTAGAACCTTACTTTTTTCACCATTGAATTTCATTTTGTTAGATAGCGCCCAGTGTTCAAGTCTGTCAGATCCTCCTGTATCTTAAGCCTGTCTTCTGGAGTGTTGGTTATTCCTGCCAGCTTGGTGTCATCTGCAAATTTGATGAGTTCCCCATCTATCCCCTCATCCAATCATTGATGAAGATGTTGAAGAGCACTGGGCCCAGAACAGAGCCCTGGGGCACNTGTTGGCTTTTAGTAATGACTTTGTTTGCCTGTAGGTGTTCGCTGATTCGTTGTTTGATTATCTTTTCCAGAATCTTCCCAGGTATTGAGGTCAGGCTGATAGGTCTGTAATTTCCTGGATCCATTTTTTTTCCTTTTTTGAAGATGGGAACTACATCAGCTCTTTTCCAGTCCTCTGGTAGTTCCCCAGTGCTCCAGGGTCTTTTAAAAATATAGTTCAGTGGTTCTGAGATCACATCTGCCAGTTCCTTGAGAACCTTGGGATGTAATCCATCTGATCCTGGTGATTTGAACTCGTCTAGGCTGGACAGGTGCTCACTTACCATTTTCTTGCCTATCTTAAATTGTGTTTCTATTCTGTTTTTTATGGCACTATTTTTGATAGGTTGGTCTGCTTTTTCCCTTTGTGTAAAGACAGATGCGAAAAACAAGTTAAATAGTTTTGCTTTCTCCCTGTTGCTTTTCACCTTCTTGCCACTTTCACCCACTAATGGACCAATCATTTCCTTCACGTTTTTCTTGTTTTTTACATGTTGAAAGAAGCTTTTTTTTTTGTTATTTTTGACTTTGGTCGCAAGCCTTAGTTCATTTTGAGCCTTAGCTTTCCTCACTTCATCTTTGCAGGCTCGGGCTATTTGCTGATATTCTGACTTAGTTATGTGTCCCTCTTTCCACTTTCTATACTTGTCCTTTTTATCTTTCAATTTTATGTCTTTTACTTTGTATATGAATAACAGAATTAAGACATTTATTATGGAAATCATGGTATATTTTAATTTTCTGGAAATCTCATTATAAATAATATTCTTTTAAAAGATTACATATTAGAAACAACAACAGAATAACTAGGTATCTAATTCTCATGTATATTTTAGTATTACTAAAGTCTTTCCTTTCTTTACTCAAAGAGATTATCCCACATATTTTAACTATTGTTCAACATACACTATTACTTTTACAAAGAATGTGAGGCACATTAGATAGTAATTAATTCCATTTTATTATATATGCTTTTCTGGAGCTCAGTATACTTTAGCAGACCTGTGAAATGAAATTCTGAGAAGGGGGTTCTTCTGTTAATAAAATTCTTCATGGGCTTGGGTGCAAAGGATGATTCTTGAGATCATATTTTAGGTTAAATTCATGATGGGTGAAACATATTAAATATTTAAATACAAAGAGAAAAATCATAACCCTGAATACATGTCTACCTTATCTCTCTATTCCGGTTATCAGCCTTGACAGACAATGATAATGTCTGAAAATGTAGTGAAGGCTAGTCAAGAAAACTATTGGCCAATCAAAATCACATTCTTGATGAGATGAAGGCTTCATGATGAATCTTCATTTGACAATATCTATAAGCCAGAGAGGAAGATTTTCTAAGTTTCTAATATCTGATAATGTCAGCAGCTTTGCTTTGGTAGGACACACATTTCTATTCTTCCAGGAATCTATGCAAATAAATAGGAGTCTTCTGAATACTTTCTCTTGACTCCTATCTGGGCATTCCTAAAACTTCTGGTCCTCTTCTTCAAACCTGCCTGGTCTGGTAGGCTCTAAATGCTGCCGTGACCTATTCAACTCTCACTTATCATAAACTGATGAGATTCCATGGAAATATCCATCCCTTTAACATTGTAGTCTCCAGCTTTTATTTTTCCTAATTGTCTGCTTGTCTTCATCTTAGCAATATCTTCTTATCTTACCCTCACACTTCATATTGGTTGTGGCTGCAATAGTTATGCTATGAAGGCAAACACAAAAAGTAATGTACACAAGTTATTTTAGCCACATGCTGAGTTTTAGGTTACAGTAAGGCATATTATTCTCCCAAGTGTTGGATAGGATGAGGTCAGAGTAGCATGGTAAGATTGAGAGTTTCATCAGGCAAGTGTGGCTGTAGTGCCAGAAGAGAAACAACTGGAGAAAATCATGACATATAAGGAACTGCAAATAGAAGTAGAATAACTGTGGCAAAAGAAGCAAAGATAGTACCAACACTAATAAGTGCATTGGGTGCACTCCCAAAACATCTGGAGCATCATTTGAACACCATTATGATTGACAAAATTACCATCAATCAATTGCAAAAGGCAGCTTTACTTCAAACAGCTTACATTCTGCAACAATACCTTTAACAAAGACATGTCAAACACAAGGCCTGGGGGCCAGATGCGACCCGCAAAGTGGTTTCATATGGCCCGTGAAGCCATCCTGGAAACAGTGAGGGAACGGCCCCCACTGCTTTGGCCCTGGCCCAGGCCATTCGGCCGGGAGCCAATGTACAATTTTGTGGTGGCCATCTATGCTGAAACGCATTCAGTCTCCCTCTGACTTTGCCCTGGTACCCATCATGAACAACCTGGCTAAGGAGAACAAGCACTGCAGCAGCAGCCTTGAGGAGGAGGTAGTGCAGCTGGGCACCCCCTTGGGGAAGTGGGCTTGGGCTTGGTACATGGGTGCTTCAGGGCCAGGCTGGGCATTTGACCTCTGCTGCCCAGGGCTCTGGGCAGCCCGCACCACCATCCAGCCCCCCCCATGGCCTGAGAGGAACAGTGAGGCTTCTCCAATGGACCATGCCTTGGCACTTGCCCTGGTCCCACCCCCTTCTCCAAAGACTCTCAGATCTGTCCCACTCCTGCCCAGGCCCCCACAGGCACCATTGACGCGAACAATGTAGAGCTGGTCATGCCCACCCAGTAGGCCACACCCACTCCCTCCACGCCCACCCAGTAGGCTGCACCCACCCTGGCCACACCCACCCGGCCCCCCAACTGCAATGCTGATGTGGCCCTCAATGAAATTGAGTTTGACACCCCTGCTTTAACACCATCAAACAACAACATCTGTCTATCCCAGGTCATTGGGAAAGACTCAAAGATGGATAAAAATGCCAAATCCAGTGTAAATATCTGGTTGACTATGCAGCCAACTGCAATAATAACAACTTAGAAAATTATTTAGAATAACTTAGAAAAAAAACTTAGAAAATCTATGCATTGACAACATTTCCAGATGTAAGCTGTTCCAAATAAAGGAAATTAAAAATAAATTTAAAAGAGTAAAGTGTACCTTTTCACTTATTTTCTATCATTAATTGGCTTGAAAATGAGTTTTTGAGATAAAAAGGGAATTTTTATATTGAATTAATTGAGTGTGGTGACCTACGATGACCATTTTTTTTTTAAAAAAAAAAAACTTCCTTAAATATTATTACCATTTTTTTGTATTTCCATTTCTTTAGAGTGCGTTTCTTAATGGGTGGCCGCCATGGAGAATTCAAGTTTTTACCTCCTACTAGCTATGCACCTTGCTATGAAGCTTTGCTTCCAAAAGAAAAGATGAAATTGGAACCAGTAAAAGAATATAAGAGGGATTCTGAAGGAATTAGAGATTTGCTTGGTACTACTCAGTTTCTTTCTCAGGCTAATTTTATTCCTTGTCCAATTGATACCAACCAGGTAAGTTTAATTAAAATATCATAACACATATAATGACTGAACATTTAATTTATCAGGATATTTTTATTACTAGTAAACCATTTTTAGATTTTATTATGTTTTCTGATCATTAGTTGGAAAACATGGAGGATATGGCTGCAAAATTTTATCTTGATAAAAGTTTACATATTTTCTTCATAGATTGTTTTGCCTTTCCATCTTGAAAAGATAAGAGACAAGCTTGCTGAAAATATTCATGAACTCTGGGGAATGAATAAAATAGAACTTGGTTGGACCTATGGCAAGGTATACTTATGAAGAATTCTTTGTGAGAAAATCACTCATTGCATGACTTTATTTAATTACAGGAAACAGATATATTCTTGACACAATAATAGTGAAGGTTGCTTTCTCATTACAAAGTTGAAATCAGAAGAATTGTGTCGTGGGGGAGAAAACATTATTCTTTCTTTCCCAAATACAAAACTAAGGTGTTATATAAAAAGGAATTCAGCTTAGAGAAAATTAAAATAGTAATAGATTTTCTCTGAAAGAGGAAAATTCTGATTTCTTTGTGCTCAGCTCTAGAGCCTCCTTCAACAGAACTGGAGAATACGTAGTAGTAAATAACTAAGGGAATATTGTGATCATGCAGATATTTTCACTTCATCACATAGTAATATCAATAGTCTTTGAAATATGAGACCATAATTTATTGTTAGACCATAACAGAAGTCTGTAACCTCTATACAGGCCATAAGTGCAGTTTTTAGGGTTTGCAATATGGTTTTTAGGAGGTGGATCTGCAACTACAAGAGATATATTCAGTAGGGCCAATAGTCCTACATGGGAGACTACTTGAGAATTCCAGAACTATTGATTAAATTTTGGAAAATTAAAATGTCAGAAGAATAGCATAAGACTGATATGAAAACTGAATGGATGCATTCACCATGAGCTGAGCTCAAAGTGAAGGCGTCTTGTATTTGCCCTGGAAGCAGAGGAACCTCACACCATTTTTATTTCCCTGCTTCGTGCTTTGTCATTGCAAAATGACATTTACTGATTTGCAGTCTCATGTTTACTTATTGGCAGTCCTGAGGAATATTACAAAACAAATAGTTGGAGCTTTAATAGCTGGAACATTCAGGGGAGGAAAAATGCCCACAATGACAGGGTAATAAATAAGTCCACTTTATGGCTTATGGATTGTTCCAGCCATAAATAGAGGTTACGTGGCAACCTAAATGCCTGATAACAAAGTTCAAATCCAAAACTTTTGCCAAAGTCACTCTTACAAGTTCTTCTCCTTCCATAATTTGGCCCATAGTTTGGTCTTCTTGTTGTTGTTATGGCCTTCTTTTCCTGATTTGATTAAGTACCATCAAGTCATTTTCAACTCCTAGTGACCATATTTTGCATCATATATTTTTGTAATATTAGTTTTCAACTTTCAACCCTCCCTCATTTTCTTCATTCCAAATAGGGTTCACCATATCCATCTCTAAAAAATCACCATTTCTCACAGCCAGTTCTGTCTTAGTTAAAAGCCCATGTCATCTGCCCAAAGTCGCTTCGAATCATGAGATGGGCAGCATATAAATTTAATAAATGAATAAATAAATAAATAAATAAATAAATAATCTTCTCCTTTGAAGCATGCCATTTTATTGATGTTCCTTCCCATGATTTCAAAAGGTTCACACTTAGCCAATGGCCTTAAAGTTGCTTTATATGACTAAGTATAAGTCAAAAGAAATGCTGAATATTATGAGTCATCAAAGTTTAGTTCTACAAAGCATCAATTATATCTAGACTATACAGTAAGTTATAACATTTCTGTGTTAAGAACATTGTAGTATAATTTCCTGCTGCAGTTAGAATTGCTCCTGATATATCAAACTACACACCACTTTTTGAACAGCAGCTGAACAATGCAGGTCACAATCCTAGAATTTGCTGTAACATATATGACATTTATACACAGCTTATAGCATAAATATCTAGATGAGTTTTCCAAAGGCCATGCTGACATAATGGAATAATAACCTTGTCTTGGAGAACACCTGATTGAGGAAAGCTATTCTGCTTTAAAACTCTGATGGATGACTGATTTATTTGCAGAAAAAGGGGTTTATTTTTGTTGAGCAGAAGTTGCTCTAAAGTTACTTACAGTCTCTTTCATACATTGTAGATACGAGACGATAATAAAAGGCAGCATCCTTGTCTGGTGGAATTTTCAAAATTGCCTGAAACAGAGAAGAACTATAATCTGCAAATGTCAACCGAAACTCTAAAGTGAGTCACAAAACAGAAGGAAAACTATTCTGTAAAGATCAATTCCCTAAGAAAGCATTCTGTTTAGTTACTTTTTATGGGCCATCTCCAGACTTAATCATGTTCAGGACTAAGCCATTGATACAAATGGTACTAGTTAATCCAGACAAATTCATCTTTCTGATTTCAGCTGATCTGGATTTATGAGAAAGGATCTGGAAATTGTATCTAAGAAATAGACCAGAGGGGTACCTGCATACAAGATAATAGTGGAGGGAGATTAATTTCTAATGGCAGGCTCTCAACTCTTTATTTTTATACAAGAGACTACCAGGAAGTACTAGGGCTGTAGGCTAGGCAGGAAACTTGAAAGTTTCCTGGAAAAGGACTATGGCAAACTATTCTGGTACTGTTGCCAGAACACAGCACAGACTTGCTCATGAAATCACTATGAAACGTCCATTAATTTGACCACAACCTGAAGGAACCTTAACAAATAAGCAATACGTTTACTCCCCATTAGCATTATTCAGGAGAATAATTGATTTTGAAGGTTTTTTTCTCTCTTTGAAATGGTAAATTTCATTTCTGATCTTAAGTTTTCTTCTACATGAGGTAACATATATCTGATAAATATTTCCATTTCATTCACAATTAAATCTGCACATTCACTTCATTCATCGACTCCAAAATCGTATCATCTTCATTCAGATATATTGCATTCTTCTCCTTTCTGCTAGTTTGCCAGAGAGACAGCATATCTATCTCTTCTTTTATTCCCATTATAATTTCATGTACTACTTATATTCAAAATGACAATCTTCCATATTCTGTGGTCATCACCGAGATCCATTAATATTGACCTCTACTATCCATTATAACTTGGTCAAAAAGAGTTTGACATAATACTTTTTAATAAGATAAAGAAGGCACAGGGTAAATGACTAGCCTTAGCTGTGTTCATACCATGTGCAGCATACTTTGCTAATAGTATGAAAATGTTTTTGGCACATTTTAGATCAATTCAAGTTTATCCCAAACATGCTAATACTATTGCATGCAAACTAAAATGTCTAATCTAAAGGCTCCCTTGCAACTATCCCAATAGCTAGGATGCAATATGCTGATGCACATTTAGAACACATGCTATTCTTACATTTTACAATTGGTTCTATTTTTATAGAACTCTTTTGGCCCTTGGATGCCATGTCGTTCATGTAAATCCAGGGGCAGAAGAAGATCTAAAGAAAATCAAGCTTCCTAAAAAGTAAGATCATTTATAGCAATGATTGCCACAACTTGTTTTACGTGACGTTTTTCAGGTGAAGTGTTAAACACAGAGAAATCAGTAATTAACTTTATGTTTCTGGGCACAAGCAAACATTTTGTGGTACTGCCTCTTGTGGATAAGGATAGGCAGTAGAACATATTTTTAATACCAAGTCATTCTGTTTAATAGTTCAAGTCTGCCTCTGATGCATGGCAGTTCTAATGGCCAAGCTATAGGGTTTATTTAACCATAAAAGAGTTCAGAATGTAAATATTAGTAATCAGACTCACAATCCCACCATATAAATTGGACATGTTTATTTACTTGCAATAGGGACTCATAATCTCATTTCCGAAGAGTTGTTTGTCCTTATTTGGAAGAATATGAGGGATGCATCATTATTGATCTATGGTAGCTATACACCAATAATCTCTCCTTCTCTTGGGAATTATTTGGTTTGTATGAATTTAAAATGAAAGAAGATAGAACAGATTTATTTGGATTTAAAATTCCTATTAATAATTCATGTAAGCTAAATGTTTACTAAATTATAGATGTACACAGAATATTCTCAACAGCTCTTTTGTTAATTAAAATGTAGGTCCATCTTTTTTCTGGTTTACAGTTACATGATGACAAATGGGTACAAGCCAGCTCCTCTTGATCTTTCTGAGGTTAAATTGTTACCTTCACAAGAAATATTAGTTGATAAACTTGCAGAGAATGCACATAATGTCTGGGCAAAAGAAAGAATAAAACAAGGCTGGACCTATGGTATTCAGCAGGTAAAAATAACTTTAAGAAAGATTTAAAAAAATGTTTGGATGATTATAAAGAAAGGACCATATCTAGCCGACTCAATATTATTAGGTAATATGCTTATTTCTTAATTAATACTTAATTCTTGATAACTATTGTACTTATCTGAAAAACCTGGAGTTGTGTATGCAATTGTGTATAGTAGGATGGCCTGTATTAAATAAAAAAAACACATTTAGTTTCCGTGTGTTTTGGAGCATAAATTATATTTATTTATTTAGTGCAGTTTGAAAACAACCCAATTCCTAAATGACTCTGAATGGCTTATTATTGAAAGAAAAACAACAGATACAGTATAGAGAAGAAAAACTCCGCATTGATGCATAGAATGGATTCCAATGTAGTGGTGCAATCTGTTCTAGAGATTAAGAGATTCTTTGGCAATCATTTGGGGGAGAAAAGCAAAAGAAAGTCCTGTTCAAAAACTGAATATATCTAATTATACTCCTAGAAAATAGAAATTTAAGTATTACAATGTACTGTTCTAAATATCTCTGTATAACCTGAACACTATATTTGTTGCAACTATTCTTTTTAGGATCTTAAAAACAAACGGAATCCTCGGCTGGTTCCTTATGTGTTATTGGATGAACGCACTAAAAAATCAAATAGAGATAGTCTTCGTGAGGCTGTTCGGACCTTTGCTGGATATGGATATAATATTGAGGCCCCAGATCAGGAACTAGGTATGTTAATAAATATTTTGTTATTAGCATTTTTGGAAGCACAAAAGTATTTGTAACATGTTTTTATGTTCCTTTAACCTTCAAGAATACTCTGTAGGATTTTGATATTTGAGTATGTTGATATTTGAGTCTAAGAGGAGAAGAATTTATTTACCCAATGTGACCAATTCAGTGATTGAGGGGCACCCAAAATCTCTTTGGTTGCTATTGTCTTCTTTCCCAAGCCAAAATATGAAAAGAGTTTTCACATGGAAGGAATGCAGCATCTTTCCCTACTTAATGAAAGTTTGCAACTTCTCAGCCTTCTTTACTTATTCACTGTGTGTTATCCTACCGTCCTTTCCAAATATAGGTTGCTTTGTTTGTTTGTTTTACTTTGAGAAGAAGGAGAGACAATGAGAGGAAAAAAGAAAGCGCAGAGGCTATGTGTCATGATTCAAGAAAGGATAGCTAAAGGGAAAAAGCTTTACTTTTCTGAAAAATGTTGCTTCTTTAAGTGGAGCAGGTGTACTTGAATATTAAAACAGCCTCACTCTGAATTTTAATTTCTACAAGTGACACATTCTTGCTTCTGTACAATATATGTTTATACAATTACCATACCAAATATAATTACTAACAATATAAGTAAGTAATTATTCTATGGCTCTTCAACATTTTTTTTCTGAATACAAATATCTGGTGTGTTAGAGCATCTGGACTGCGGGTCAGACATGTCAAGATGGGAGTTTAATCACAATGTTGCAGCCCCCATCTTTTTTTTTTGACACTCCCCCATACGTGCCCTTGCTGATATGTTCAGTTACAATAATTTCTTGTATTGTATTTTTCACAGCTGACCAAACAGTGGAAAAAGTGAGCATTGATAAGATACGTTTCTTCAGAGTGGAGAAATCTTATGCAGTTAAGACTGGAAAGTGGTATTTTGAATTTGAAGCTGTAACTGGAGGGGATATGCGTGTTGGATGGGCAAGGCCAGGCTGCCAACCTGACATAGAACTAGGAGCTGACGACCAAGCATTTGTATTCGAAGGCTCAAAAGTTAGTGCGTTTAATTATAATGGGTTTATATAGCATAGGACAGTTCATAGAGTTTTAGGTTCTGGGCACAATTACGCATTCATACTAAATTCAGTCAATTGTGGGATGAAGCATATACTGTAAAGCTTTAACTTCCAGTAGGCAAAATTTATTTTGAGTTAAGTGCCCTCTCATAGCTGGACAAGTCATGCAAATATCATAATTCAGTATAAAATAAGAGTTACCTTCCCTCCCCTCCCTACTCAGTGTTGCAAAAAAAAGAATTTAGGTTCCATTATGAATATAATTGCCAAAATCTTTAGAGTTGCTCTCCTTTTCTTGTTTGATTTCCATTATTCTCACATCATTGATGGAGTATGAGTTGATGATGTCATGAAGTCTTGCCAATATTCTTTATGCACAAAGATTTATTGGATTACAGGTTTGTCCTGGCAAAAGTATGTTTGGCTCAGAATTTCTAAATAGAATACAGTTACTTTTAATCTGGTAACTGTACCTAAATTCTGCCAGAATTCATTCATCCTTTCTTTCTTTCTTTCTTTCTTTCTTTCTTTCTTTCTTTCTTTCTTTCTTTCT